ATTCCGTCACCTTGGGGGTTAGGATTTCAACATGAATTTTAGGGGGACACAAACATTCAGACCATAGCCAATGTCATTTTCTATTTATTAAAATAGTTCTCGAAAATAGACTGTTAATAAAGACAAAACTGTGGAGACAGTTAAAAGATCAGTGATTGCCAGGGCTTGTGGTGGGCGGGGGGAGCGATGAATGGGCAGTGAAAGCATTCAGGATGATACCGTGCTGATGGATACACATCCGTACACATTTGTCCATACATTGAATATATAACGCCAAGGGTGAACCATAATGTAAATTATGAACTTCAGGTGATAATGATGTGTTAGTGTAGGTTCATCTGCTGTCACAAATGTACCACTCTGATCAGGGATGTTGATAATGGGGAACAGGGAGTATATAGAAAACCTCTATACCTTCCCCTCAAGTTTGCTATGAACCTTAAACTGCTCTACAAAATAGTCTCTTAAAAGCAGTTTCTAAATGATTTTTTATGATCATCACAAAAGGTCTGGTTAACATCCTTTACCGTACATACTTACAGTTTTTCTTCTTCTAATTTAAAAAAAAATTTTTTCTTCTGATGAGAACTTTCAGGGTCTACTCTTAGCAACTTTCAAATATGCAACACAGTATTATTACTTACAGTCAAGCATCCTGTGTATTACGTCACCATGACATTTATTTTATAACTGGAACTTTGTGCCTTTTGACCCCCTTTACCCATTTTGTCCACCCGTCCCCCTTGCCTCTGTCAACCGCCAATCTGTTCTCTGCATTTGTGAGCTTTTGAAAATAAATATTCCGTAGATAAGTGAGATCACACATGATCTGTCTTTGACTTATTTCAGTTAGTGTAACTCCCTCAAGGTCCATTCATGTTGTCACAAATGGCAAGATTTCCTTCTTTTGAGTTGAGTTGGGTTAGTGTTGAGTTAGTGTTTTCATTTTCTTTGGATAAAAACCCAGAAGGTGAATAGCTGGATTGTAAGGTAGTTCTATTTTTAATTTTTTGAGGAGCCTCCGTACTGTTTTCCACAGTGGCTGCACTAATTTACCTCCACCCCAACAGTGCACGAGGGTTGACTTTTTTTTATAATAGCCATTCTAACAGGTGTGAGGTAATGTCTCAGTGTGGTTTTGATTTGCATTTCCTTGATGATGAGCTGATGTTTCCATGATGATGTTGAGCTTCCTTTCATGTACTTTTTGGCCATCTGTATATCTTCTTTGGAAAAATGTCTGTTCCCATTCTCTGTCCATTTAAAAATTGGATTGTTTGTTTTGCTAGTGAGTTGTAGGAGTTCCTTATATATTTTGGATATTAACCCCTTATCAGATACATGAACTGCAAATATTTTCTCCCATTCAGTAGTTGTCTTTGCATTTTTTAAAAAGATGTATTTATTTTAGAAAGGGGGGAGGGGCAGAGGGAGAGAGAGAATTCCACGCAGATTCTGCACTGAGTGCAGACCCCAATGGGAGGCTCGATCTCATGACCCTGAGATCATGACCTGAGCCGAAACCTGACGTGAGTCAGACGCGTAACTGGCTGAGCCACCCAGGCGCCCCTGTCCTTTCATTTTGTTGATGGCTTCCTTTGCTGTGCAGAAGCTTTTTAGTTTAATATAGTCCCACATGTTTATTTTTGCTTTTGTTGCCTTTGCTTTTGGTGTTGAATCCATAAAATCATCACCAAGGTCAATGACAAGGAGCTTACTATGTTTTCTTTTAGGATTTTATGGTTTCAGGTCTTCCATTCTTATCTTTAACCCATTTTGAGTTAATTTTGTGTATGGTGTAAGATAGTGGTCCAGCATCATTCTTTTGCATGTGGCTGTTCAGTTCTCCAAATGTGATTTATGATAGATTGTCCTTTTCCTGTTGCATCTTCTTGGCTCCTTTGTCATAAATTAATTGATCATATATGCATGTATTTATTTCTGTGCTTTATATTCTGTTCCACTGACCTCTGTCTGTTTTTATACCAGTACCACTCTGTTTTGATTATATTTTACTATAGTTTTGTGACATAGTTTGAAATCAAGGAGCTTACCGTTTACAATTGCATTACATTATAAAGTTATGAATTTAACCAAGGAAGAATGGTGCTGTGAACATTCGTGTGCAAGTTTTGTGTGGACAGCTGTTTGCATTTCTCTTGGGTGTATACCGAGAATGGAATTGCCAGGTCTATCACAACCCTATAGTTAACTTTCTAAGAAACTGTCAAATGTTTTCCAAAGCAACCACACCATTTTACATTCCTGCCAGGAGTGTACAAGAGTCCCAGTTTCTCCACATCCTTTCCAATACTTGTTACTTCTGATTTTGGTTATAGCTATCTTAGTGGGTGCAAAATGGTAACTCATTGTAGTTTTTTTAAAACATATTTTATGTAAGTATGTTGTATGTATATATTTGTAAGTAATCTCTACATCCAGCGTGGGGCTTGAATTCATGACCCCGAGATCAAGAGTCCCATGCTCCACCGACTGAGCCAGCCAGGCGTCCCTCACTGTAATTTTAATTGGCACTTTTCTGATGGGTAAAGGTGTTGAATATTTTTTCAGACATTTATTGGCTGTTCTTCTTTGGAGAAATGTCTGTTCAGATCCCTTACCCATTTTAAAATTGGGTTATTTGGTCTTTTTATTATTGATTTGTAATGGTCCTTTATGTATTCTAGATATATGTCCCTTGTCAGATAAATGATCTGCAAATGTTTTCTCCTGGTTCCCTATTTTTTTCAGTCAGGAAGGGAAGGAAAACTAAAATGTATTAAGGTAACTATTGTGATTAGCATTATACTTCGGCTGTAGAAGGGCCAAAAATGATTTCTACCTTTTAGAAAGGTTTCTTTGGAGATCCCAGACTTATGTGGCATAACTGGAAAACAACACAGAACAGTGTATGTTAAATAGTACACAATCTCGGTCAAAATGGAATGGAAAAAAGTATGAAAAATAAATGCCCTGGGATTCCAAGGAACTGAGGTTGAAAGTAATTGATTTAAATTATTTATTTTGAGCAGAAATACATGAGCAAATGTTAACTATTCAGAACAACTTCGAAACAAGAATATTCCGGTTCGATTCAGCTTCCATAGAGTTTCGTGGTATCCTATATACTGTGTCGGTCTTCCTGCCAGACTGTGTCTGTTTCTCCCTGTGCTCCCAGGACGGGCACAGGGCCAGTAACCGTTTGTTGAAGGAATGAGCAAACGCGAGTATGGGCTAGAGCTCTCAGGGAGCGTGGCACTGATTAAGCACTTCCCTAAAGTTGTCACAGGTGGAAAGAGCAAAGGGTGGAGGGGCCCTGGGTGTCCTTCAGAACTCCGCCCGGATCCAGCTCTGCGGCAGCGGCATTTCCGGTCCGATAGCCTCATTTTGTAGTGAGGGAATGCACTGGATCTTCTCCTTTAAACATTCTGAGGTTTATGAGCAGCATAAACTTAAAACATTTAGAACCAGCTAAAAATTCTCTAAGTAGAATCTGAGTGCATGATTAAGGTTTTGTGCTAAAATCACACTGACATTAGCAGCTGCCATTTCTATAAAATTGTGTCAAGGAAATGGTATTTCTAATATTGGATGTACTAAGAAGATATTTACAAGGCAGTATCTTTTTTTTAAAAAAAAGATTTTTAAAATTTATTTTTGCGCTTGCACAAGAGAGAGCGCAAGCAGGGGGAGCCGCAGAGGAAGAGGGAGAAGCAGGTTCCCCACTGAGCAGGGAGTCCGACTGGGCTCGATCCCAGGACCCCGGGATCATGACCAGACGCCTAACCAACTGAGCCACCCGGGCGGCCTACAAGGCAGTGTCTTAAGAATTATCATTAGGTAGAATGTTAGAATTCATCTATCAACTTATTTATACCCTACCTACTTGCTTTCAAACAAGATTTGAGGTGGCAATTCAAGCTAGTATCTTTTCCCCTAAGGCAAAAGGTTCTTAGATGCTATTAAAGGACATTTTATTTGTTATTTTTATCTTTTAAACAACCTCAAACTTTTGGTATTTCAGAGGCTAAAAATTTTTAAGCAGGATTAGGAGAGGATAGTTCAGTAATGCTATTTTAACATGAAGCTCTAAAATTAACAGCTTTTAGACACGAAAGCTCTCATTTTCTGTCAGACCGTTTCATTTAGGTTGCAGAAGGACCATCACTAGCTACTATTCCCTCCCTGCATGTGTACTTTATGATGAATAAGCCAGTGGTATTTTGGTTCAAGTAAATGGTTTTTCTTTGTAAAATTGTGAGTCCTCGTAAATGACATGCTTGAATTTCACACATTTCACATATCCTTGACGGAGACTCTGACCCATACAACACCAAAAACTCTCATTTCTTTAGAGGCTTAATTAAACTCAGTAGAAGTAGAAACATAACTGTGACCCGTAAATCTAACCAGTCCATGGCTATGGCATCTGGAATTTTTAAAATTTTGTTTCACTCTCTCTCTCTCTCTTTTTTTTTGTTTCTCTCTCTTTTTTTTAAGTGTTACACCCTGAGGTAATTTTATACAAATATATAGCAAACAAAGGTATGACAAATCTGAATAATTCATTGAATATTTCTATGTTCGTATATTAAAATCATGTAAGTTAAAGCTTGTTTATTTTACATTTACAGTTGATATGAATGAACTTCAAAGTATCTGTTTTCTAGGTTTGGAATTTTATGACAAGCAACCCCTCTAGCTCTGGTAACTTATTTAAAAGCTTAAAAGCTCTTGTTAAAATACTCTGTATTAAGTACTGAGTGTTTCCTAGAGAACTCAGCATATTTCCATGTGAGTGATCTGATTTAACTAAGAAATGTATCCAAACCACAGTGTCTCTTATTGATCATAAACATTTGTATTAATATTTTACTGTAAAAGCTCTATCAATAGTCTAAATAATAGGTTGGTTCTTTGATAAAGCCGAACGTTTTTTAAAGTAGGGGTATTTGGTGGGAGACAAGCTAATACACTAACTCTTAAACATTTTTATACAGGATTAGCTGAACCATCCTTTGTTGCAAAACATGAAGATAGTTTGTTTAAGGATTTGTTTCAAGACTACGAAAGATGGGTTCGTCCTGTGGAACATCTGAATGACAAAATAAAAATAAAGTTTGGCCTTGCAATATCTCAATTAGTGGATGTGGTAGGTGTGCATATCATTACGTACTTCATTTCGTACAGGCTTCCTGGGAGCATCCTGGGTGCCCTGTGTTAGGCAGTGAGCATGACAAAGGTGGGTGAGACAGTCATTTTCCTAAAGGAGCTCAGCAGGGAAAAATTACTATACCGTAGGTGTAGGAATACACTGCTTATATGATACTGTATAGTTTAGAAGTCATTTATTTGGTAATTATAATAGGCCTATTTTTAATAAGTTCAAAGATAGTAAACATTTTTTATGGAAGTTTCTCATTACATCTGTTTAAAAATATGATATAAAAAAGTCAACATTTTAAAGCGAGGGAAGTAACAAGGAGCAGTATGATCACAGGCTTAGGAGTGACATGGAGCCTTTTTTTCAGCTGTTTAGATCAAAGGGTTAATGTTGGAAGCCACTCCCTGGGAGGGCCCGGTGGGTCACAGAAGAGCCTACACACCACAGCGCTTTGCCCCCCAGCGTTTTTCTGTTGGAGAACTTTGCCTCCTGGAACAAGTCACTTATCCGTCAAGGCCAAATTTAGTTGTCTGACCTGTGGTGGAATCTTTCCAGAGTTCCTAAGACAGCCTCCCCCGTTCGCATGGCCCTTTGCACTTTGACGAGGTGCCCGTTACAGCGGCTGGTGCTCGTGCACTCTGGTGTGGCATCCTCAAAGCTGGCTGAGCTTCATTCCTCAGCTCCGTCCCGGAGCCTAGCAGTGCCTGGTGCACGGTAAGTGCTGAGTGAATGACAGATCTGATGGCAGCAGATAGGGTCAAGGCGGTGCTTTGGGAAGAGCCGAAGGACGGACAAATACACGGTCTTGAGCGAAGGAGGTGAGAAGCTTGAGAGGCAAGGTGGAGGCCAGGTAGAAGGAGTGGCACTGAGTAGAGTGGGACGTGTCAGGTTGTGAAGCCTGAGCGGTTACAAGAGAAGAGGAACGGGTCTGAAAGGTTAAATCCGTCGATATGGGGAAGGCCAGAGGAGATGATGCGTTCCACTGTGATAGCAGGTGATTGTGGTACCTGGAAAAGAAAATGTTCCCGAGGGCCTTGGGAAATCAAGCCCGGCTCTGTGAGGAGAGAGGAGGCTAAGGATGTCAGCGTGGACAGCCTGGCCCAGGGCTGAGTGTTGAAAACGCGGGACCGAGGAGTTTCCAAGCAAGCAGGGGAAGCAGGAAGGTCCATCCTCGAGGAACATCTGTAGGAGGTGGTAGAAGGAAGGGTGGGCCAAGCAGGGAAGTTGGCGAAGGGTTGTTTCCTGAGAGAAGAGCCCAGAACACAAGGTCAGTGATGGCGATGAGAGGGAAGGAGGACAGGAGCCGGGGGAGGTGAGGCGAGCGCATGGAGAACAGAGGTCCCTGTCATCGTTAAGCTCTGTCCCCCTCGGTCAGCGGTCATGTTTGGGCGCTCCTCCTGGAAGTTCCCTCAGATTCCTGCCTTCTTTCCCGTGTGTTCTCGTTCGCTCACTCTTTCTTAAACCTCCACATTGGCTTGCTTGTCGGTTGCTAATTTTACGGTCAGGTTAAAGAAACTATTGTCTGCTCCACTTACGTGTAGTTGTTTCTCTGCTAACGGGCTCTTGCCTCCTGGTGCAGTCCTGCATTTGTCCTTGCTCAGGTTTGCGTCTGTCGCATCCTGAGTTGCGCTGAACACATGAGACATGCTTGGGAGACACCCAAGGGGTGACCTTAAGCTGGGCTGTACCCCCATATTTGGGGCCGGTTGTGAACTTAGGTATTATTCCTCTATCTGCGTAGAAGATACGAAGTATTGATTGGGCCCTAGCCCATAGTGCAAACTTTATGTGTGTTCACATTTTTCTGGGGAAAATGTCAGTAATTTTCATTATATTCTCAAAGATGACCTACTGCCTTATGGCATTGTAGGCAATGGGTTTACCAGACCTTTCTTCATTGTTAATGCTTCTGTTTAGAGCATTTGGTGCAGAGACCAGCACTTCCTGTGGATGCTGCATGACTTTGGGGCAGACAGTGGAGCCAGCAGGGTAGGGTTTAAACTCAGGAGCTTTGAATTCTAACGTCGGCTCTTGCACCAGCTGGTGGTGTTCAGGCAAGTGGCGTCATTGGGCTAGTTTCTATATTTGCAGAATCAGTGGATTTCAGTAGAAAAAATCTCTAGGTCCTTTCCAGCTCGAGTGCTTTAATCAAGGACAAATGCCGTTTGGAACCGGAGTGTAGGGGGGATGGCCTTGCTGTATTTCCCAGTGATTTTTCCCAGGGAGGGACTTGACCGCTGTCTTTGTCCCAGGGGAGGTGCCTCCTCTGTCCTCCTCCTCTCTCCCGGGCCACTCACCTGCTGTTGGAAAGAGTCCCCTCCAGGCACCTAAGCCATTTAAAACTACGTCCTCTCTCCGCAGCGTAGGGATGGCCTCCTACTTCTGTGGGTCTCTGCGCTTAGCGTTATATCCCGCACACTGTGGTTGGTGATCACGATGGTCTTGTACAGGTCCAGTCGGCTCCATGATATTTCAGCAAAATGTAGTGGAAGAAATGTCACTTTAATTGGGCCTTGAGAATTCAGTGAAAAGCTGGTCTCAGCAAAGAAATAACATCAAGGAGGTGTGAGTACCAAGTATCAAAGACCCCAGTTCTCTAGAAAAGCAGGCTGTGAAAGCTTCTGAGGTTGCACTCAGGGCAGTGACCTCAGTAATTTTTCTTCATAGCAGCTCGTCAGAGATTCAGATCTGTGCTCAGCGGAGGCATAACTACCCTTCCCCACATCGCAGCACTTTCAAAACCACCACGTGTTTTATCATTAATGGTGACTTACAATTCATTGTCAGCTTTTTCCGTTCTTAGTGCTAAGTACGTAAAATCATGCTGTGCCTGTTTCTTAGACCGTGTCTCAGGTTTGAGGACATAGAGTAGTTGAGACTGTGAGTGTTAAATTTAAAATGCCAATGGTGTACTCCACGGCAGTTTATCTGAAATACAGAGCATATTGAAGGGAATAACGTGAAATTAGGCTGGAAAAATGATCCTGCCCTTCTAGAGAATAGCATCGATGAGCAGGGTATAGGGACTGTACGGACAGGAGTGTTTGTAAAAAACTGTGAAAATTCTTATTATTTCAAGAATTATTGTTTCTGTACTTGAAATAATGAGCCTTATTTACATTTTTGTTTTATAGGATGAGAAAAATCAGTTAATGACAACGAATGTCTGGTTGAAACAGGTGTGTATGAAATGCAAACGGTCACCCGAGTGGTCCCAAGTGCTGCGACTGGAGGGTTTGCAGTACAGAGAAACACGAGCAGGGGGTGTCGGGGGGTGGGCAGGATGCGGGAGGGTGGGGGTCGATGGGGTTCCCGTGGAGCAGCTGCTGGGCACTGGGGAAGCAGCAGTGAGCAAAATGGGCAGAAGTCCTGGCCATCAGGGAGCTTCTTTCTAGTCAGGGGAAAGAAACAAGGAAGCCGTATTGTGCCTCGAACACTGACAAGCTTCACTGGGGGCAAGGATACGGGAGTGTTGGGGATGTACTTTTAAATAGGATGGGTGGGGAAAGCATCGCGAGAAGGTAATGTTTGAGCAAGGCTTGGAGGAGAAGAAACAAGCCATGTGAATATCTGGGGAGATGTGATCCAGGCAAAGAGGGACCAGCACATACAAAGGCCCTGCGGCTGGAGTGTGCCTGGTCTGTTTAAGGAGGAGCAAGCGGGCCAGTGTGGGTAGGGGTGAGTGAACCATGAGGAGGGAGGGGTGTGTAGAGGGGGTCAGAGAAGCAGTGGGAGGCCAGGGGTTTAGCAAACACCTGGGCCGCTGCCAGGATTGTGGTGTTTACTTGGAGTGAGATGGGAACGGGGGATGAATTATTCTTATGTACGTAGCCCCTTTTGTACAAAGGACTTCTTTGTCTTCTGGGTCACCAGACCTATGTCCTCAGCTGCTGTTGTGTGCTTCCCTTTGCTCTTTCTTTATTATACCGAATTTTAATACCTACTACCACTTCCCTGACCCTAACTCCTAAAAGGCATGCATCCTTTTTTGGGGGTTCAAGTCTTAACATGATCTCAGAATGTCACTGCATGGAGGTTGGACAGGTGTTTACACCGTGGAGTGTGTAATAAATCCGGTTCCCCTGCAGGGACCAGTCCAGCCATTGACAATACAGCTGGAAAAGAGAATGTCTGCCTAAACCCGGTCCTTACATGCCCATGGCCGCAGCCCCAGGCCGCGGTCGTTGGTGGGGGAAGAGGTGCTGAGCAGAGCATGGTCCTCACCTGTGTTGCATGAGGACCAGGGCTGGAGCCAGGGGCCAGGGCTGCACTCTCATGCTCTTAAGAAAGACGTGGAGCTGAGTTTTCTCTATGGCGAGCAGAGATGCTCTCATATCTAGAACTTCTGGATGTGGTAAAAAGTATAGCTTTTACCACTCTTGACTATCGATGTCACTGCAATTGGCAATTGAGGCTGTTGTCTTTGTTCTGAAGGAGTGGACAGATGTGAAGTTAAGATGGCATCCTGAGGACTACGGAGGAATCAAAGTGATACGCGTCCCTTCAGACTCTCTCTGGACTCCAGACATCGTTTTGTTTGATAAGTAAGTTATCTTCTAAATGCCACTTTGTGTTTTCAAAAGAAAATGCTTGCATTTTTATTAGGCAGTAGTACTTTTTTCTTCCTTTGGAACATTGTTTAGCTCTAAGATCACATGACTTGATCATGTGTGTTTTGTGAACCTACACATAGGTTCTATGGATCCTCTCTTTTCTTGGTGCATTGTTTCCTGATCATAAACGTGTTCTTTGATTTTTAAGACTTGTAGAACATTTGGGAAGTGCAGAAAGCTGTGAGGAAGTTGGGGGGGGGGTCACCTATAATCAATCCCATTGTCCCCACACTTGGAGGCAACGTGCACGGTAGCGGACATGCACAGAGGACTCACTCTGTGTCTGGCTGTGTGCTCCGTGCCTCTCTGCTTTATTCAATGCCCACTGTTATTCAGGTGGCATTGTTGACAGATGAACAGGTGATGGTGTTATAACCTTGTCCACAATCACACAGCTTCCTTGTGGCAAGGTGGGCTTTGCACAAGGCAGCCTGATGTCCTACTTACCCTCCGACTTAATAGACTACACATTTGGCAGATTGCCTCCTAGATTTGGGGGCTATTTTTATTTTTTATTTTTATTATTTTATTTTTTTTAAAGATTTTATTTATTTATTTGACAGAGAGAGAGGCAGCGAGAGAGAGAGAGAGAGCACAAGCAGGGGGAGCAGCAGAGGGAGAGGGAGAAGCAGGTTTACCAAGAGGGAGCCCGATGTGGGGCTTGATCCCAGGACCCTGGGATCATGACCCGAGCCGAAGGCAGACACTTAATGACTGAGCCACCCAGGTGCACCTGGGGGCTATTTTTTAAAAAAAATAGTTGAAATCCTACTTTATGTTCAAATAAGTTTTGCTTCTAATTTTGCTTAAATACTGTATTGGAATTATCCCATGATGAGGAATGTAGAGTCAACTCATCTTCATAGGCATCCTACCTAGATGTGTTTTGAGGATGGTTTTTCACTTGGGGAAAGGATAATTCTGGGATCGAGTTTCAGGTTTTCTAGCACCACCCGATGGCAAATCTGGGAATCTGTGCTTCTCCTAAAGCACTCTGTAGTATTTGCAGGAAATTTGGCATGAAGACAGAGCAAACGCTATGCAAAAACATTAGTGTTTAAACACCTTTTCCCTGCACGCTTCTCCATAGGTGAAGAGGGAACAAGATGTAAGTTTGCAGGACACAGCTCCCCAGAGTGTCATGTTACTCCAGGCTGCTGAAAACATGCTTCCATAAGCATGAGTCTAGCAAAAAACTCACATGAGTTTTAAGATAAAAGAAACCAGTATTTCGAAGAAAGCTTATGTTGGTCGACTAATACAGGGTGTGTGCTCATGGAGCCGCGGAGCTTGAGAAGCACACGTAGCAGGCGTCCAGTGTTTGTGATGGAGGGGAAGAGCACTGTGCGGGGAGTCTAGGAACGTGGATTCAGGCTCTGGCTACTCTCTGATTGTTTAAATAGTCTAGTTATATTTCATAAGTAAGGTGAACTCTTTCAACCTCTAAAACGTCAGGGAGGGGCGCCTGGGTGGCTCAGATGGTTAAGCGTCTGCCTTCGGCTCAGGTCATGATCTCAGGGTCCTGGGATCGGGTCCCGCATCGGGCTCCCTGCTCCTTGGGAGCCTGTTTCTCCCTCTGCCTTTCTCTCTCGCTCTGTCTCTCATGAATAAAAAAATAAAAAAATAAATAAAATGTCAGGGAGCTGTGAAATAGAGTTGGATCGTCAGTCTTGGAGAGGATGTGGAAGGAGTTCGGTTCTAGGAGGGTTCTGTATTTAAGGAAGATGGCCTTCGAACATAATCACCTGCAAAGTGTCTCATGCTTTGGCGTGGGCTTGCTTTCACAGCAGGCTCGTGAAGTGCCGGCTTGGGCTGTCTCGTCTCTCATTGTCACGTGCGTGTGTCTGTTTCAGCGCAGACGGGCGTTTCGAGGGGGCCAGCACTAAAGCGGTCGTCAGGCACGACGGCACGGTGACCTGGACGCCGCCGGCAAACTACAAGAGTTCCTGTACCATCGACGTCACATTTTTCCCATTCGATCTCCAGAACTGCTCCATGAAGTTTGGTTCTTGGACTTACGACGGGTCCCAGGTTGATATTATTTTAGAGGACCAAGATGTAGACAAGAGAGACTTCTTTGACAATGGAGAATGGGAAATCGTCAGCGCCACAGGGAGCAAAGGGAACAGAACGGATAGCTCCTGCTGGTACCCACACATCACATACTCCTTCGTAATCAAGCGCCTGCCTCTCTTCTACACCCTGTTCCTTATCATTCCCTGTATCGGCCTCTCGTTTCTAACCGTGCTCGTCTTCTATCTCCCCTCCCACGAAGGGGAGAAGATCTGTCTCTGCACGTCAGTACTGGTCTCTTTGACTGTCTTCCTGCTGGTTATCGAGGAGATCATCCCCTCGTCTTCCAAAGTCATCCCTCTGATCGGAGAGTACCTGGTGTTCACCATGATTTTTGTGACGCTGTCCATCATGGTCACTGTCTTCGCCATCAACATCCACCACCGTTCTTCCTCAACACATGATGCCATGGCGCCTTGGGTCCGCAAGATATTTCTCCACAAGCTTCCCAAACTGCTCTGCATGAGAAGTCACGTAGACAGGTACTTCGCTCAGGAAGAGGGGGCTGAGAGCCCTGGGAGACCAGAGTCCTCTCGAAACCCACTGGAAGCTGCACTTGATTCTATCCACTACATCACCAGGCACGTCATGAAGGAGAACGATGTCCGTGAGGTCTGTGACATGTTGTTGACAGATGCGCATCTGCTTCTAAGTCTGGTAGAGTAAATGGCAGGACCCTCGAGACGACGCAGAGGTCCAGGGCCAGGAATGTTGACATGCTGCTCCGTAGACGGTCTCTAACCAAAGCTGGTTTCAGTTAAAACATCTGCACCAGGGCATCTCTGCTCGCCTCGCTTCTCCATTCCCCCCGGCAACTTCTGTCATTCTCAAGAGTGATAATCCTGCCGTGGTTGTTTTATCTTCCATAACTTTGTGTCTGAACTCTGTGGTGATCTGTAGGCACAGCTTGGCATGATCATTTATCAGAAGTTCTTTTATTTTTTAACAAATGAGCCTAATGTAGGCTTTGTAAGTATAGCCAAGAGATCTCTTCCAGAATATGTCTTTTTGTTGTTCATTTACAAGAGGATATCAGTGAAATTAAAAGCAGTAAGCTATTCTCTGGTGTCATATATTCTATGTCCAAGTGTTCATGTGAAGTTTAGTAATAGTGCTTAATAATATGCTTAATTTGCTTAAAAATAAAAATTCATGTAAAACTTTATTAGAGAAAAATAACTCTCATTGGCTTCTTATTTGAGGTTAATATTTAAAATAAGAATTGAACATAGATACGTTCTCCTAATGTAATATTAGGTTGAATTTTCTTTTAAAACGTCAAATTTCAGTGTCACTATTCTTTCTCTTGTGTAGTATTTGTAAAGCTATGAATATAGCATTTTCCTAATTGAATTTACTTTGAATAGTCCCATTAAAATTATATGAATTCTCATCTAAAGCTTTTTTAAATGGAAAAATTTCTAGCAGGTGTGGGAAGCATCAAAGCAAATCTGGTAAAATTACAGCCCTCCCCCCAGAAGGAACATATGACATGTACTTCTGAAAAACTTCTAATGCTTGTCGATTTGTAAGGTTTCTATTTCATGATTAGTATGATTAGTTTATGAGGTCTGAAGCTATCGATGGAGTCTTAAAACATATAAATATTAAATAATGACTTGGATTGAGATGAAATTTAATAAATGTCTGCAAAGTATTGTGCAAAACGGCCAGCGCTCACCCCCCCTGGAGCCAGTAAATGGGTTTTATTTTCAGGGGGACTGAGACCATCAGTAGGGTGTTTACAGCCACCTAAAGTCCACATTATCCCACAGTGGGAGCAGAGCTCCTGTAGGGGACCTCATGCCTCACAAAGGCAGGGGCAGCCTCTGGTGCTCAGGGGCTGGTCTCCACCTGCCCTTCCTTTGAGGTCACTCAGGGCTGCTGAGCTCGCTCCCTGCTTAGGCTGCAAAACGGGATGAAATGAGGTCCACGCCAGCAGATCTGAATTCATGAACTTAGATTAAAATGGCCCCTAGGGAATCCAAAACCAAATAATGCAGGTTGTGGGGAGGGGAAGAAGATTAAGGGCTAATAAGTATTATTCTGAACCAACTTTTAATTTGACTTGAAATTAACCTTAGGCTGGGCTCTCTTTAAAAATTAAAATAAGTAAACACTACTGGGCAAGAATAAGTAACAGAAATAACTGTATATAATAAGAGATTTTTTTTTAGTTTATTAAAAAATATCCAAGTAGTATATCCTGACTATTAAAAAGCTATCAAAATATGCCACGTGTGATATGCTACAAATCAACGTGTAAATTAACAGAGCACGTAGCATCTCTGAGAGCCTGTGGAAGCTGTGTGTGTCCCAGAGCTCCCTCGCTGTTGTGAGCAGTGGCAGGAGGCAGAACCTGATCTGGCCCCTAACTCAGTGTGTAGTATCTTACAGTAATTACACAATTTTAAATTATGTGTTTAATGTGTGTTTTTTTCTTTCTCTTTTTTGCAACAGGTTGTTGAAGACTGGAAATTCATAGCCCAGGTGCTGGATCGGATGTTTCTGTGGACTTTTCTTCTGGTCTCAGTTGTTGGATCTCTTGGGCTTTTCGTTCCTGTTATTTACAAGTGGGCCAATATCATAGTCCCGGTTCATATTGGAGATGCAAATAAGTGATACCTGCCCAGGGGACACAGTAGGAGTTTGGTTGCCAAACGCACGTGTAACTCTGCTACCTATAAACTTAGAAAATGTACATTGTGCTTGAAATTTGACGCCAGCTCTAACCAACAGACTGACAGTTGCTAACACTGGTTTATCTTAATAGATCGCCCATTCGAACATTTTACCTGCATGAGAGAAGCACTAACTGACTCAACATTTGGTCTAGAAATAGCAGTGGAATAGTACCCGAACTGTGCTAGTGAAAACCTACTGTTTGTATCCTGGCAAGTAACACTGGTTTGTAATCAACGTGAAGCTCATCTTTTGATTGTGTTGGAAAATTCCCGTTGTACCTGAAGATTGATGTCAGGACTTTTTCTGCATTTGGTAAAGGCACACATTTTAAATCTCTCTCTGTCCTGTATCTGCAGCGGAAGAGCTGACCTTGGGCACGGTGTCCTACTGCCGTATTAAATAAGCCAGCTACCTGGTACAGCAACCATTTAATGTGATGCTGATTTTTCTATAACCAACATTTTAAAAAGTGAAAGGTGGGAATTCCTCGAAGGCTTACTTTATTCCTTAGATGCTTTAACTGAACAATTGTTGTATTAACTATTTTTGTAGCTTACCGTCCATTGTAAAATCATACAATAGACAACCCCTGTGGACATGCACAAGTATCTCAATAATTAACAGTAATTTCAACCCCCTTGTCCATATTTTCCATAATAACCACCTTCTATATAAATTGTAGCACTTCTGTATCCTTCACTCAGCATAGTCCTCTACAATGAAGTGAATCCCAGTTTTAAAACTCAAAACCTCCATGGATACTACCAAATCCTACTGTGAGGAAACCATCTTCCGAGATTAAAGGTGGTTTCTAATTAGGTAGAAGCACATCGTTACATATCTGTAATGTTTTGGTTTCTCTCTTTCGTCCCAACAGTTACAGTGCTAGAGCCTTCGAGTTGTGAGGGCTGGTAGATGTCATGCAGCGGTAGCCTTTCACTGCTCACTCAGGACCGATGGACTGTCGAGGGTGCACGAGTTAGAGTCCCTCTCTCGTGCCCCTGTTCAGCTGCGACCCAGGACAGCACACCAACAGGAGCCCGGGTTTGATGAGCAGCTCCTAGCTCTTGCGAGAACAAATGCCTTATTTATAGTAAGTAATCATCTAAGGGCAAGTCAGCGCTCTCTGGAAGACGGAGGGGATCCGTCTCATCTCTGTCCTACTGTAGGCACATGTTCAGTGTCATTTAACAGGTGAACGTTGGGTTTGCTGAGTTTAAACTGCCTGTTAGCTAGCTTCGCACGTCATCTCCCCGATTCCTCATCTGTCTGCGTTGCTGTTACTTAAAATTTCTGTAAGTAAATAAATTTTACAGAAATCTTCCTTTGACTTACTGAAACGTGAGTCACCGCGGGCTGCAATTTTGTCAGTTTTATTTCTGTGTAGCCAAAACATCAAAATGCCCAGTGAGAAGATCAGAATGGTCTCTGGGAATCCTCGTCTCCTACCAGTGGCCAGTCAGACTCAGACCTGCAGTGCAGGCGAGTTGCTTCTTAATAATCCGTCTAAAGCAGTGGGCCTCAATCAGGGGCAGTTTTGCACTCGAGGGGACACTTAATTTTTGGAGACATTTTTGGTTGTCCTAACCGGCAAGGGACCGGGGTATGTCACTGGCATCTAGTGGGCAGAGGCCGGGGGGCCACTAAAGATCCTACGATGTACAGGACAGTCCTCCAGTGCAGAATTATCTGACCAGAAACGTCACTGCTGCCAGGGCTGAGGAATGCCGTTGCAGAGGTTCGTCTGCAATGACCGTGGGGCCAGGCACAACCTCTCCCAGCAGTCACTCGGGATGCTGCAGGATACACGTGGAGATGCCCCGCGGTGCAGGCGCGGCCCCCAGACCCTCGGGAGACGGGAGAACCAGGGGTGCGCGGTCAGAGCGGCAGTGGGAGCGGAGCTGCTGAAACAGTACAAAACGTGGAGGAGGTTGCGGGCTAGGTCAGAGGGCCCTCAGGAAATCTCTTGTGATACCCAAACAGACGTTCCCATTTCTGAGCAGCCAGTTCCCCTGTCTCATTATGCCTCACCTACCGCAAAAAGGGCAACAGTTTTCGTATTTAGGCCATTTTTACATATTCTGTGGTAGAGCATACCACCTAACGTTGCAGGAAAACTGTATTTTGACGTTTCTTTACCAAAAAGGCTGGTTAAATGTTCATTTATCTATAATAAACACTCTTGACGTTTTTCTTGCACGGATCTCTTTTGATAAAATCAAGACAACTGGATAAATAAATAAGCCTTGAAATGCCAAAAACAATGCTGGTAGCTTGATGACAGAAAGTGTGAGAAAAGCCTAAGTGTAAGACTTAAAACAATAAACGCCTTGGAAGAAAACAGGACAGATTCTTTACAACACCGGATTTAGCGGGGATTTCTTGGCTATCACACAAAAGAGCACAGATGACAAAAGACTGACAAACTGGAATTAGTGAAAATTTAAAACTTCTGTGCATCAAAAGACACTATCAACAGAGTGAAAAGGCAACCCAGAGAGTGGGAGAAAATATTTGCACATCACATACCTGATAGGAGGTTAATATCTGCAATATATAGAGAACTCCTAAAACTTAACAACCCAAACACCCAAACAACCCAATGCAGAAGCGGGAAAGGACTTGAGCAGACATGTCTCCGAAGAAGACGTACAGATGGCTGAGAGGCTCAGGAGAAGCAGCTCAACATGACTCAACATCACATAAATGCGAAATCAAAGCCACAGTGAGACACCGCGTCCATGCATTAGGATGGCCGTTACCAAAAGCCCAGGAAGCAAGTGTTGACGAGGACGAGGCCGGCTGGAGCCCTCGTGGGTGCGCGGGACGGTGCAGCCATGGTGGAAAGCAGTTCGGTGCTTCCTCAAAAACTTAAAAGTAGAATTACTGCAGGATCCGACAGTTCCAGCTCCGGGCATACACCCCAAAGAATTGAGAGCAGGGTCTCAAACAGATTCTTGTGCACCCATGTTCACAGCAGCCAAAATGTGGGAGCCACCCCGGTGTCCAGCGGCGGATGAATGGATTAGCAGAATGCACACACGGGCACCAGAGTATCACGCAGCCTCGAACAGGAAGCACATTCTGACACCCATGACGCGGACGAGCCTTGAAGACAACATGCTCGGTCAAAGAAGCCAGTCACGAAAAGACGAGCCTGCATGATTCCACTTGTGTGGGGTACTCAGAATCCCACAAACCGTGGAATGGGGGTGCGGGGGGAGGGGCTGGGGAGTTCGGGTTTCCCGGGACGAAGGGGGTCTGGAGGTGGGGGTGGGGGCTGCACAAGAGTGTGGGTGTGTGTCCTATGCTGAACCGTGCGCCCAACAGTGATGAAGGCGGTGCCTGTCCTGGGTGGGTGTATTTTACCACCAGAAGAAACAAATGCGCCCCTGCCCACGTGGGTCACCCTCTGGCAAACGCGGCGCAGCGCTCACGCCTCGTCCTTCGCCAGCAGAGGCTGCAGAAACAACCCCGCCGTCCCCAGAATGCACACCAGGATGAAAACCCACAGGAAAATGCGATCGATGACCATGGCGACGTACTTCCAATCATCCTGAATCTGAAAAACAAAAAAAACATCAGGAAAGAGGAAAAAATAAAGCACGAAGGGCAGGCGGAGGAAACCCATTTTCAGCAGGAACATCGAATAAACATGTTGCAGCAGCAGAAGCCATTCTGCCACCAAATGCAAGAAATCTCATGTTCCTAACGCCACCTGAGGACATCCACTATTGCCAAGTTTCTTTTTATGCCCTGCAAGAAACAAGTATAAAATATTCACGTTAAGTCGGTTTTAAATCAGAAATTTCTTGGGGCGCCCGGCTGGCTCAGTCAGTAGAACGTGCAACTCTTGATCTCAGGGTTATGAGTTCAAGCCCCACGTTGGATGTAGAGATTACTTAAAAAAAAAAAAAAAAAGAGATAAAGGGCGCCTGGGTGGCTCAGTTGGTTAAGCGACTGCCTTTGGCTCAGGTCATGATCCTGGAGTCCCGGGATCGAGTCCCACATCGGGCTCCCTGCTCGGCGGGGAGTCTGCTTCTCCCTCTGACCCTCCCCCTCTCATGCTCTCTCTCTCTCATTCTCTCTCTCAAATAAATAAAATCTTTAAAAAAAAAAAAAGACTTGGGCGCCTGGGGGGCTCAGTTGGTTAAGCGACTGCCTTCGGCCCAGGTCATGATCCTGGAGTCCCTGGATCGAGTCCCGCATCAGGCTCCCTGCTCGGCGGGGAGTCTGCTTCTCCCTCTGACCCTCTTCCCTCTCATGCTCTCTGTCTCTCATTCTCTTTCTCTCAAATAAATAAATAAAATCTTAAAACAAACATTTCTTAATGTATACATAATCTATTTTTTTTTAAAGATTTTATTTATTTATTTGAGCAAGCACAAGCAGTGGGCAGAGGCAGAAGGAGAAGGAGACACAGGCTCTCTGCTGAGCAGGGAGCCCAACGAGGGACTCGATCCCAGGACCCTGGGATCATGACCTGAGCTGAAGGCAGACGCTTCACCGACTGAGCCACCAGGGGCCCCATAATCTATTTTTTCCTCAACTGATTTCTAATTCATAACGTTAGTAAAACTTTGACTTGTGCCTGAGGGAGGACTCCTGGGCCTTGTTAGAAAAGCTAATACAATCCAACTGTCATTTACCGTTGCTTCTAAGTACTATTCTTATCCCGTTTTAGAGACTAATTTCCTGTTAGCATCTGTTCCACACATGAAATCAGCACATCAGGGCCAGGCCATCATCATCATCCCCACGGCCCTCCCCAGGCCCAGCTAACCAAAGATCCTCTTCGACCATAAGGCCAAAGTGTCGTGGACAGGCTGGAAATCAGATGTAATTGCTGACAACAAAGTAAGAGATGGAAGAAAGAACAAGACTAATTGCATATAATACAGCTTCAGTTCAGGCTTGAAATAGGAAGGAGAATTGTGTGTTAATTATACTCCTAGACAACTCAGAAAGCAAGGAAACCATAATTGAATTGAGAAAGAGAACCCATAAATCAATGGGTTTTGAAGAAATAATCACATAATAAAGAGGCAGCATGTGATTTAGTAATTGGATTAAGTGCACTGAAATGGGGCTGGGACGCAAGAATTTTCTTTCCCATCATGAGCTGGAGTGGATGTGTGCTCTTGAAGGCACTAAGGAGTCTCAGCTAAAATTAGAATTGTAATGCCCTGTTTGCCAGGTACTTCATTTGAATTCCCGAGACTGTGGTTTGTAAGTGCCTCAAATACACAATAGACCCCGTGGTTCCCTCCTGCCCCTGGCCGGCTGAGCCCCTCCAAGGCTGTCACAGGCAGAGGGTGGAAACGCAGACTTGGAGACACACTGATTTCAATCCCTGAGTCTGGGAATCTGGGTAAATTATGTGACCTCTCTTCACCTCGATTTCTCCGTCTGTGAAATGCAGGTAGAACAGTACTCACCCTCCTTAATCCTTCCACCCCTCTCCCCTCCTGCAACCCTCAGTTTATTTCCTGTGATTAAGAGTCTCCTATGGTTTGTCTCCCTCTCTGATTTCATCTTGTTCTATTTTTCCCTCCCTTCCCCTATGATCCTGTTTTGTTTTTTATATTCCACATGAGTGAAATCGTATGGTATTTGTCTTTCTCTATTTCGCTCAGCATAAGCCCCTCCAGTTCCATCCATGTCGATGTAAATGGTAAGTATTCATCCTTTCTGATGGCTGAGTAATATTCCATCATGTATATAAACCACATCTTCTTTATCCATTCATCTGTCAATGGACATCTCAGCTCCTTCCACAGTTTGGCTATTGTGGACATTGCTGCTATAAACATTGGGGTGCGTGTGCCCCTTCGGATCCCTACTTTTGTATCTTTGGGGTAAATACCTAGTAGTGCAATTGTTGGGTCGTAGGGTAGCTCTATTTTCTTTCTTTCTTTTTTTTTTTTAAAGATTTTATTTATTTGAGAGAGAGAATGAGAGAGAGAGAGCAGGAGAGGGGGGAGGGTCAGAGGGAGAAGCAGACTCCCTGCCGAGCAGGGAGCCCGATGCGGGACTTGATCCTGGGACTCCAGGATCATGACCTGAGCCGAAGGCAGTCGCTTAACCAACTGAGCCACCCAGGCGCCCAGGTAGCTCTATTTTCAAAGAGCACTGGGTGTTATATGAGACTGATGAATCACTGAACTCTGAAACTAGTAATACACTATATGTTAACTAATTTAATTTAAATAATAAAAAAGAACAGTACTTACCTCTGCGGGTGAGTGAGATAACTTGCTGGCACACAGTCCCTCATGGACAACACCTACTGATATCCACGCTGATAAAAAACATGACCCTTCCCCAACTACAGACGTTCCTCTGAGGTCTTTGTGGGCTTAGCCCGGTGCAGGAGGAGGGGACCTGGGTCTCACACATGAACACACATATGCCGCACAAAGAGCGGGGTGAGAACTAACTTTAGGTCTGTTAAAGTCTCGAAGGCAAGATGACATGGGGTGTTTTCTGGAAGCTTTGGAACTAATGGTAACAGAGAAGCGTCAGACAAAACAGTGAACTAGCACAAGCTCTTGGCTCGTTCTCCCAGCCCAGCCCTGGAACGTCCCAGAAGCCAGAGAAGCCTGTATGTTAGGGGCTGGGGTCCCCTGGCCCGGGGTGCTGTGGGGCGGGCAGAGGAGGGCCTTGGGAGGGAGGGCGGGCGGGGCACAGCTTTGGGCTGTGATCTTTTCACCCCTAAAGCTCTGCCTCTTTGCAGCCTGTCCTCTCCCTGCCCAGAGATGCGGGTTCCTTGTGAGCGGACAAGAGCCTGGTGGAGGTGAAAAGCCAGAGGTCGAGATGTCCCTCATGGGGCAAGGTCACCCGGAGGGAAGGAGGCACATTTGAAGGGTGGTCTAGTCCAGTCTGTGGCCACGTAGGCGCCTCCCCAAACACAATCCACAAGGATGGCTGACGCCCCCAGAAAAAGTGAGTTTTCAGACCTCAGTACACAGACTTAGCCATAGGAAAGGAAATTCACGCAGGAGACAGGTTAAGGATTTAAACTAAACATGAGATCTGCAGAGATCACAGAGTATCAGAAACACGAAGTAGAAGGAGCAGGATCACAGAAGAACCAAGTCAGACGGACAAGTCAAGGAAAAGACTCAAGAGACGAGACAGCCAGCAGCAGGGGACTGCGAGGAGGGGCAGGGGGCAGGGAGCGGGACTGGACCCACGAGGAGGGGTAGGGGGCAGGGGGCAGGAGGGGACCTGCAAGGGGGGGTGAGGGGCAGAGGGCAAGAGAGGACCCGTGAGGAGGGGCAGGGGGCAGCAAGGGACCCGTGAGGAGGGGTGAGGGGCAGGGGTCAGGAGGGGACCCGCAAGGATGGGTAGGGGGCAGGGGGCAGGAAGGGACCTATAAGGAGGGGTGAGGGGTGTCGAGCAGGATGGGACCTGCAAGGAGGGGTGAGGGGCAGGGGGCAAGAGAGGACCCGTGAGGAGGGGCAGGGCAGGAAGGGACCTTCGAGGAGGGGTGAGGGCGGCGGGCAGGAGGGGACCTGTGAGGAGGGATGAGGGGCAGGGGGGAGGAGGGGACCCACGAGGAGGGGTGGGGGCAGGGGCAGGAAGGTACCAAGAGGAGGGGTGGGTGGCGGAGGGCAGGAGGGGAGAGGTGGGGGGCTGGAAGCACATGTGTGCGGTTCAGGGGAAGAGGAACAGGGAGAAATCTTCACAGAAAACCTGGACCCCCTGAGAACTGAAGGTGGGAAAGTTTGGGGGCAGCGGCTGGTGAGAATGTCCGTCTAGGAGAGACCTGCACACCCAGGTCCTGGGTTTACAGATTCCAGAGGCTTCTACACACAATCCATCAGTCAGACAAACAGCATCAGGTTAACTGAGAACTTCTCATCAGTTACACCAAACCAGTAGTATTTTTTAAGTATTTAAGGAAAGGAACTTCAACTCTAGAATTTTGGATCCAGCTAAACTCCCTGGAAAATGAGAGTTTTTCCATTTTGTAGCCCACAGGCCTCCGAAGTTTCAGCTGTAAGCCCTGGAAAAGACACGGCGGTGCGGGGAGAAAGGGGCAGGAGGACGGCCCAGGATGCATGCGGCGAGGCTGACAGCAGAGCAAGGAGCGACACGTCTGCCCCCAGCCCCCTGATCCAGAACACAGCTCCCGGAACATCCAGGGCAGCCGGCAGCCAGGAAGAGCCAAGGGGAGCACAGTGGGGTCGGATGCCGGGCGATGCGGTGGGCCCGGCGTGTGGGTCTGAGTCACGGAGGCACAGCCCCCACCTCCCCCCCCCCAACCCCGCCATGAACAGAAACAGAAGATGGGGCTTTCCAAGCAGCGGCCACGATTCAGACTTCACAGTGCACGACACGAACTCTGGGAGGAAAGAAAGGTAAATGGAAAACCCACAATAAGATGGCAGAAACGGAGCCTTGACGGGAGAGTACCCACAAGACTCGGACTGCATAAGTCACCGATCAGAAGTGACTCTGGAAGGAGTGAGCACACATCCACGCAGTGCACACAACATCCGCGTGGGCGGATCCCTCTGTGGGGGTCTGTCTCCACCCAGCACAGGACAGGCTGTCTCAGGACCCGCAGCTCGGAACATGCTGGCCAGGGCCTGGGCTGAGGCCAGACTGAGAACAGGGTGCCGTGGCTGGAACCGCCCCAGGATGACCGGCTGTGAAAGGCGCCATCAGCAAAGAGCGCTTTCAAGGGGCCCCAGGCTCCAGGATTAATACAACTAAACCTTTTACTGTAAGAACAAGCGGGAGCACGTGGTGACCCACGGGAGCGGCCACGCCAGGAACACCAGGCATTCCCGTGCCGTGGGGGCCAGGGTGGTTGTGGTCGGGAGCCCAGCCCTGCAGTGAGGTTCTGGGGGGCCGAGCGCACCGAAAACCAGCCAGGCCAGGCCATGGACCCAGGGAGGGAAAGCCTCCCTGGAAAACCGTGGACCGAGATCCAGGGGAAGGAGGGCCCCTCCAGGCAGCTCGTGTGTCCTCGGCACAGGGTGGCGTCTGTCCTGGCTCTCACTGCCCGCTTACCAACAGGCTGCTGTCCGCCAGCCTGCGGGCCAGATTTCTGCTATTTCTGGAAAAATGGGAGCGCTAATAGCAGGCCCCCAGCCCCCATGGCATGGATGACCAGAGCTGAGCCGTGGCTGCCCCTTGATATGAACCTTGGGCCACTAGTTTGCCACTAATTTATCTTCTGGGCATTTCAGTGGTGACTTCCCTTTTAAAAAGTAACAATTTTTAAGTGTCCTTTTGTAGAAAAGATGCTTGTGAAACTTATACTTTGTATGGTGCCTGGTAACTTTGGAATAGTTCATTTTTTTTTTTGAAGATTTTATTTATTTATTTGAGAGAGAGAGTGAGAGCACAAGCAGGGGGAGTGGCAGGCAGAGAGGGAGCAGGGAGCCCGATGCGGGGCTCGATCCCAGGACCCTGAGATCATGACCCGAGCCAAAGGCAGAGGCTTCACCGACAGAGCCCCCGGGCGCCCCTAGAGTTAGTTTCTGATAGCTTGACAGAGGCTGGAGTCCTATGAATACTTAGATCTCAATCTACGAAATGTCTGCTAACTGAAATGATTACGTTTAAGGTGGATGAAGAAAGGGTAGGAGTGCCTGCAAATGTTACCCGTGTTAGAGACATGAGATGTTCACAGATCAGGTTCTCGTGCTCCAGCAGCTGCTTCTGCTGGAGTTAAAGGTGAGCCTGACTTCTTGGCTCAAGGACGGGATCAGCAGGAGGCCCCGCGGTGGGGGTGGTGGTGGCAAGCTCACAGCTGCGCAGGCCGGCGGGGTGCGGGCCAGGCGGCGGCTGCGGGCTCCCTCCTGTCTCCGCCACGTCCCGTGCATTCGGAGCGGAGTGGAAGAGGCTCCAGTTGCTCCCTATCCGAGCTAACCACCCACCGCACAGCAGGAGCTGAAACGATCCGTTCATTAGCTCTTTGCTAATCAGCAACCTAAGGCACAGCCAATTCATGTGAAAGCAGAGCTTCTTATAAAATCATCGCATGGGGCGCCTGGGTGGCTCAGCTGGTTAAGCGACTGCCTTCGGCTCAGGTCGTGATCCTGGAGTCCCGGGATCGAGTCCCTGGATCGAGTCCCTGGATCGAGTCCCGCATCGGGCTCCCTGCTCGGCAGGGAGTCTGCTTCTCCCTCTGACCCTCCCCCCTCTCATGTACTCTCTCTCTCTCTCATTCTCGCTCTCTCAAATAAATAAATAAAATCTTTAAAAAATAATAATAATAAATAAAAATAAATAAATAAAATAAAATCACCGCATGTGATTCGGACAACTTTGGGGGTAAACAGAGGGTCAGGGAGCAGCATATACGTGATATTATTAAGTGTAAAACGTCTCCTAATACTTCACATTCGTGCTAGTGTGAGATCTGTGGAGGAAACAAGTTCACCCAATTACAAACAGCGAGCAAGAGTTTGCCTGGATCCTTCACGAGAGAAGATGTACGAACGGCCAATAAGCATATGAAGAAGACTCCGAGTTGCTATGGAGCAGGGAAAAGCTCACCAAGACGGCCACAGGCACTGGTTCGCATGTCGGGGTGAGTGCGGGCAGCTGCGGAAACTCTCACCGGCCCAACGCCTCGGGAGCCTCACAGTATCTGCCGCCAAAGTTGAAAATGCCTCCCTGGGCGCCTGGGTGGCTCAGTCGTTAAGCGTCTGCCTTCGGCTCGGGTCATGATCCCAGGGTCCTGGGATCGAGCCCCGCATCGGGCTCCCTGCTCGGTGGGAGGCCCGCTTCTCCCTCTCCCACTCCTCCTGCTTGTGTTCCCTCTCTTGCTGTGTCTCTCTGTCAAATAAATAAAATCTTAAAAAAAAAAAAAAAAAGCCTCCCTGCAGTGATCAGCAAGGGACACGGGTGTGTGTGTCCACCAGAAGACGTGTATAAGAATACTGATGGTCCCTTTCCTCAAAATAGCCCCAAACTAGAAATGACCACACGTGCAGGAGCTGTGGCATTCAGCAGCAGGTGTCTCCGAAGGACACCTTGTTGGATGTAAGAGGTCAGACGTGGAAGGGAGTGCGCCACGGAATTCCATTTGGATGGGGGTCAAGGGAAGGTAAAGGAGGTCGGGATCAGTGGTTCCAGAGGGTGGGGGACCACCGGGAGGGGGCACTGGAAACGTCCCATGTCCCTACTCGGCTCAGGGTTACACATGTGCACTTTATACCTAAATGGGGCAAACAAACAGTTGGAAAGTAAAGTGACGACTGTAAGCTCAGCTGGTCAGGCTACGTGGAGGTGATCTGCTCTCGCGCCCTCTCCCGGCTCATCTCCGGACCGACTCCGGCTCGGGGGCCAACTCCAGGGCACACTAACTCCAGGCACCAACTCCGTGCGCGTGAGGACACAGGCTGGGAGCGGTGATGCCGCACATCCGGGGACACCTGCCCGGTCCGTGGAGGAGCCGGGCCGAGCACAGCCACGGACTCCCGGTCGAACCTCTCAGCCCCACCCTGCATGTCTGCCCCAGGGAACAACATCTCCTTACCTCTTTGGCTTCGTTTTGCGCTTTCATATTTTCGGCGATATACCTGACGCTCTGGATGGCTTCTCTGATTTCCGGTGACATCGTAGAGAGGGCCAGCACGGCCTGGATGGACTCCGAGCTGGAGCTTCTCGGGAGGTTGGCGCTGAAATTTGAGATTTTCATCCTGCGGTGGTGGCACTGGCCACATGTCCCATCCTGGCAGGGACAGCCTTCCTTGCAGCCTCTTGGCTCCGTGCGGCTGAAGCAGTTGAGATTGGAGAGCTCCGCGTTGTACGAGGGCCTCGGCTTCTGGGTGGGGCCCTCGCTGCCTGCCGGCCTGGTCATGAACATGACCCTGGGAAGCAGGTGCAGGAAGATGGTCTTCACCCACGTAGGCATGGTGTGCGTGGTCGGTGTTCTGTAGTGCACGTTGAGCACGAAGACCGTGATGACAATGGACAGCGTGACGAAGATCATGGTGAACAGCAGGTACTCGCCGATGAGCGGAATCACCAGCGAGGTGGAGGGGATGGTCTCAGTGATGACCAGGAGAAACACGGTCAGGGAGAGGAGCACCGAGATGCAGAGCGTCACCTTCTCGCCGCAGTCTGAGGGCAGGTAGAAGACCAGCACGGTGAGGAAGGAGATGAGCAGGCAGGGGATGATGAGGTTGATGGTGTAGAAGAGGGGCAGGCGCCGGATGTAGAGCGAGTACGTGATGTCGGGGTAGATCTCCTCGCAGCAGTTGTACTTGATGTCGTGCTTGTAGCCGGGGGCTTTGATGATGGCCCACTCGCCGCTCTCCCAGTAGTCCTTGAGGTTCATGGAGGAGCCGATGAGGACCAGGTCGATTTTCGCCTTGTCGTAGGACCAGGACCCAAACTTCATGGTGCAGTTCTGGTAATCGAACGGAAAGTAGGTCACGTCGATTTTGCACGAGCTCTTGAAGATGGCCGGCGGGATCCAAGTCACTTCCCCTGTGTACTTGAGTAAAGCCTTGGTCTTGTCGTCCACCTGGAAGTCCCCGACAGCACTGCAGAGACAGGTGGGCGGCACACGGTCAAGACCACGCGCTCACCAGGGCCTGCGTCTCACACCGCCGGCAGCGAGCACAAGTAACCGCTTACGGGACCACACGGCAGGAGGGCGAGCCGGAGAAAGTTGCCCAGGCCGTCACCCCGCTGACCAACGGGGACACCGCGGCCCAAGCCTGCATCCCCCCACCCCGGGCGCATCCCTGGTTCACTCCACAGCCATGACTCTGCCTTGACATTTACTAGAAAGGGATTGTTTCCCCTCTAAAGAAATGGGATGAATGTTGTCCTTGAGGCAGGAAACCTGTGGGGATATTTGCCCCTCGTTCTGCTGTGGTTTAGACCTGTCAGCACCTCATTCAGTCTCCGGCATGCACCGTGTGCCCACGGGCGCGTGAGGCCAGGCTGTGGAGCCGTGAGACCGCCGGGGGCCCACTCCCCCACCCGGAGCCCCGTCAGTCGGGCTCACACCAGACGCGGCCCGCGACCCTGCTCTCCCCACGCGCACGCGCCCACCCCCAGCCCCGCTCTGCTTGAACGTTCATGGGTTCTGATTCCTTGTCTTCCAAAGCCTGCACACTTTATCTTCCGGTTCCCCCTCTGCCCCCATTTTCTCCCTGCCTTTCACCTCCGCGTGCCCGGACCGTGCCCGGACCGTCTACACAGAGCCCCGTGGGCCCCCGTCCTGCATCCGAGAGTCACGGTTGTGGCCTCGCCCTGGGGGGAGGCCCTACTGGTCTCCTCGAGTTCTGCCCTGGAGGCATGCACACCCTGCAGAAGGAGTGGCCACCTCGCCCGTCTGCCTCGGGGGCGGGAGAACAGGACACACCTGCACGTTAGGGGACAGCTGGGTGTTCCCTGTTATTTAGTGAGAACGTGTGGACACAGAAGGGCTGTGTCTTGCTGGTCTCTGCCCCCATCCATGCCTCCGTGGAGCAGGCCCTCGTTGGCGCGAAAACCCCAGGCCACTGCCTCCCTGTCCTCCGGTCGGCAGGTCTGTCCCACAGGGGCCCTGCGGGCTTCGTTCATGCTCAGCGCCCTTCGTTCTCACTCCGGCTCCACGCGGATGGGAGGCACAAGGAGTGGGCAGGGCCCATGTGGCCCTGACTGTGATTCTCCTGAAGAACCCGCAGGGCCTGTTCGGGGGGCTGAGAAGACCCCAGAACAACGTCCTCACGGCGTCCCGGGCCCACAAAACGTGGGAATGTTAAGAGACCTCCAGACCACGGCGCACAGGCCCGTCGCCTTCTCTGTGAATACGTGTCCACTGGGACACAGCCACCCTGTCTGTGTCTGTTTCGGGTGACAAGGGCAGTGGGGCCACGGCTGGGACTGGCCCACAAAGTCTAAAATGGTTACTGCCCAGCCCTTGCCATCCACCGTTCTAGTCCAGCGGCCTCCCTGAGGACGACACCGATGGTCAGACCGCGGGCTCCACGGAGTGTTTGTGGCAGGGCCTTGACCCACCGGAACTTGGGGCACAAGTGAAGGGTCACTAAACCACCCCTGTGCACCCCAAGGCCAAACACCGGAGTGAAGTTTGCCCGGCTGGGTGATGCTCATTCCTGCTTGTTCCCGGGGATCCTGGTCCCGGGGCGGCGCCTGCACTGGAGGCCTTCTGCTGACCGGGCCGTGTCTGCAACCGTGGAAGACCACGACCCAGCTGGGCCCTGGGGGGCGGCACGGCACCCACCACAGACAGGGCCCTTGTACGCATTACGTACGTAATAAACGGTCGCCTCGGGGGTCCAGGAGATGCGGGCAGCAAGACCCAGCTGGAATGGGAGGGCTCTGGGCCGCCTGTGAGGCCGTTGGAGGAGAGAAGGTGGGTGGGGGCTTGCTCTCAGGGAGACGGAGCCTCAGGGGGCCGAGGGTGATGAGCGGTGTGAATGTTCTCTCCAAATTCCCAGCAGCAGACAGACAGGCAACCCGGGGAGCAAAGGAAAACCTACTGAGCACATCATCCAAGTCAGGTTACAGGCAAACGAGCTTCAGAATACGAGCGTGTGGGGACCAAGCCAAGCCCAGGGAGGCCTGCGTGGACGGTGATCAACCGGGAGCAGTGATGGCCGGGGTAAGAGGAAGTTCTCGTGTCCCAAGAGCCCCAGACACAGAAACCATGAGGAGACATCTGTCCCTCAAGAAAGAGGCCCCCGCTCTGTGTTGAACCCTCAGCAAGGGGAGCAGTGAAACGGGGGGCCCATGGATTTGCTTGTGGGGAAGAACCAAGAAGATGGTGCGGTCCATGGACGGTCTGCAGGGACGGCATGGGGGCTGGTGTGGGCTCGAGGGTCTCAGACATTCCTCCCCCAAACTCCCTCCTGGGAAGCCACAGACCCACCCAGAAAAATGCTGCTTAGGGTAGGATCCAAGTTAAACAGGGCCGGAAACGGGTTAAGAGAAGGAAGAGGGTTTACAGACCGGAGAAGCAGGTGCCTAGCGGCGGCTGCACTCCGACCCTGGGGCCCGCTGACCCAGATGCTCTCAAGCTGGCAAAGGGAGACCCCCGCCTGCCCGGTCCCCTCTGGGAGCCTGTCCTCAAAGTTCAGCAAAGGCCACTATCTGCACAAGAGCAACAGGAAGGACTGTAGCGTGAGAAATGCAGGAACATGACTGCCTAAATCACAAGCAGGTAAGTGTACACCCCGAAGGACGGCCCCAGAGCCGGGGAAAGGCACGGCCCAATGTACAGATCAAGATACGCTAAGTGACCTCTGGAAGCGGAAGGAGCAGTGTAACTGGACGCTAAATAACCTGGCTGGAGCAGCAGGTGCATCAAGAGTTGGCAAAACTGGGCGCCTGGGTGGCTCAGTTGGTTAAGCAACTGCCTTCGGCTCAGGTCATGATCCTGGAGTCCCGGGATCGAGTCCCGCATCGGGCTCCCTGCTCGGCGAGGAGCCTGCTTCTCCCTCTGACCCTGCCCCCTCTCTCATGTACTCTCTCTCATTCTCACTCTCTCAAATGAATAAATAAATTAAAAAAGAAAAAAAAAAGTTGGCAAAACTGAGGGAAGAATCAGGAAAAGAAACAAAAACCACCTTAGAAGCAAAGCCTAAAAGCAACAAGACGGTGTCGAAAGCGCGGTTGCAGGAATGAACCCAGACAGGACCGATGTCCACATCAGACAGAAACGAGAACCCCAGAGAAGAATCCAGAATGTGGGTGAAGCTCCGACGTACATGCAAACAGAGTTCCCGGAGACAAAAACCAAAGCAGTGGGACAAGTCTCATGTCCTGGGACTCAGAAAAAAGCTTTCCTGGTGTCGAGTCTTATCCTGTGC